GATACAATATATGGTACAATTATCATATATATATATATATACCTTAGACTGAATTCAATTTCTCTTATTAGTTTTATGCAAATTTTTGAAATCAGATAATTTGACGGCTATAATTTATACAATATAAATATATTTTTTGAAAAAAAATATTAAAGTTGTTTTAATTGTAAGTTTAATTTTTAATAAGCATTTTATTTCCAATCGTTTATAACTCAAGAACTCTATATATGCCTTGATGTTTGTTATCGAGAACGAAAAATTCAGAATTTGGTAAGAGACATCTTCTATATTGACATGGTACTTACAGTATTTAATGATTAGGTATACAAGTATTATCTAACTGATTTAAAGAAGTGCAACTGACGAAAACGACTTGTCAATATTAACATATAAACAAACATATATTTATGTTCCATGATCTTCCTGAATCAATCAGTTCCAGTCACTGCATTTACACGACATATTTATTATAATATCAGGAATTGACATTGTGGTCATGCAGTATTCGATGATCTATCAAAATAATAAAACAAATTAGGTACGCTAATCTATCCTTGATAATAATGGCTCTCTCGTGGCGACAACGCGTAATTAATTGCTGCTCAGAACTGTATTTTAATCCGCGCACAAGTGTTATATACAAAATAAGTTGTTAAAAACAATAATAATTAATTATTTATTTCTCGTTGAAGATATACAGGGTCTGCCAACGAAAAGTATCCATCCTCTATATTTCGAGTGCCTCAACTCAAAAATTTCAAATAAAACCTCCCATATTATAGTAGATCGTTCGAAAGGGCATAAAATGAGAAAAATTTTGCGCAAACCAGAGGTCGATACTTTTATCCGTTCGGGAGTTGTTTAGGGTCAAAGTTTGGAAAAAACTTATTTTTTACTCTAAATAACTCCCGAACGGGTCAACGTATCAACCTCTGGTTTGCGCCAAAATTTTTCTTATTTTAAGTCTTTTCAAACGATATATTACAATATAAAGGGTTCTATTTGAAATTTTTAAGTTAGGATCTTCTGGGGCATGTAATGTTTTTATGCATATGATCTTTGCTGTACCCTATCCGAATCTTTGTCACCCGTATAATATCCATGTACATTTATTCGATTGAAAGTTTGCATGCAAACTGAAAATTGCTTAACATTATTTTGACATGTTTCCTATACTTCTCTCTCTCCCTCTCACCTCATCATTCGATTAATTTGATCAAATAATGCTGCGCTGCGATCGACTCAATTGTTAAATAACTCAATAAATAATGACCGGAGAGAAAAGTAACAGAGGAACTTTTATCTTAGAATTTTATTCTTTTTCACCCCCTCAAAGATTAATTTGATGAAGTGAGTTTTGGGACACCCTGTATAGTAACAAAACATATTTTACATTAAATATAACAATTATTTTATTACTACGTTATTTTTTTCTAAGCATTTACACATATGTTTTTATTAAGTTGTAATTTTTTCTATTTTACATTTAACTGTTATTATTGTACATTATTATTTATTTATTATAAACATATTATATATACTTGAATCATAATCTCATTCAAACTCATATTATTATTTCAAAGTTATAATATAAACTCTTACTTTATTTTATTAATTTTTAACGTAGTCACCTGGGATGATTTCTACACTTCAACAAGTTAATAGGTCTGTACTATGAATGTACAAGTAACCTACTAACTTTTTCTGTTATGCAAAGTATGAATTTTAGATCAATAAAAAAAATTACTAATAAAATGAGGTTTATTTTTTCGACACTGTGGTGTAAAACTCACCCCAGGTGCTCGTTCCCGGATTAAAAGTCGTCGTCCTTGCATACGTCGAGAAAAACATCGAATTTTTAGCGATTGCAATTGCCTTCCGCAAACGAACTTGTGAAACATTCCATTCACACATACAGCTGAGATTACAATAAAATTAAAAGATGAGGAAAGAAGCGCGGTGTATCAGAGATGTATTTTCTCGCATAATAGATAATTGCATCATGACTTGATTGATTGATTAATTGATAGAATAAGGAGACTTTAAAAAATAATTAAAATTGTAATTCTCGTATTGCTCTTTTACAAAAAAGTAAAAGAAAGTTTGAGGTAATGAGAAAAAATTGTCTATATATATAATTATATATATGTCAGAGTTATATAAAATCATGCATATATATAACTGACATATATATATATGTCAGTAATAAAATTGCGTGTTTTAACACAAGTTTAGAATTAGTGATGGAATAAAAAAGGATAGAGCTGCATAATTGGTAGTTAGGCAAATTCAAATTATATATATACAATATACATATTTACATACATCATAATAAATAAACCATTCCTCTCTTTTCCACCTTTGTAAACATTTTTGCAAACGCTTGTTGAGGCGATTTCTGTACTAGATTTAGTATCTGACATTTTCTAATACAGAGCGGTCATAATGGAATTACTGCAACAGTCAGAACGCATCGAATTGTGAGATTATTTCGATCAATTAGAACCTTTGCTAGTAAAATGCAGGAAATGTGAAAAAGAAATTCAAATATTTTATAAGCGACACATGAGAAAAACATTAAGGACACACTTAGGTAGACGTGGAATATTTCCCGATAAAGACTGCACATTACCTGACAAACTACGGCAATATTACTCGGACTTACCAGAACACAAGGCAAAATGTTATAAATGTGGTAAAATAATAGGTATCTTATTTAACAGACTATATGGGAGTTTAAAACAATATTTAAGAAAATAACATAACACAATAATCCAGAATCTAAATAAGTAAGTATACATTCAAGCAGTTATTAAAATATTAAAATTTGTACAATAAATGTAATGATAAAACAAGCAATTGTTAAAGAAAGTTTAAAGAATAAAAGAGCCTCCATGTAACAGTTTATTCACAGATCTGATCATAAATGTGCTTACCTAATCATAATAATTATATTCTCTTTTATTTTATATATTATAATTCGAAAAAATTTAAACCGCTTATATTAACGTTCTTTTATGCACCAAAACATATACAATACAAAGACATAACTTGGATATTTATTCGTTTGATTAATATCGCAAAATTAGTATTGCAGTATTGCAGAATTTGTAGAAATACGAGATATATAAAACGTACGATTTACAGTCTTCATATGTGTTCAGCATTAAATAACCATATTTAATAAAATCTGTACATGGCAACTTAAATCTGCCACTTATTTATATGTATGATTAATTATTAATAAAAATTTCTAATTAGCCAACAATAAACGGTTTTATATAATATTTGAACAGTCGTCGTTGATCTTCGCAAGTGCTAATATTGAGATATTAATGCTTTATTTGTTACTGTTGAGATTATTATTATGTAGCATGAAACTAATTTATTCTAACTTATTTTACAAGTTATCGTAGAAATATTCTGTCTATTTCAATCATCTAATTTGTGATTGTACCCGACTCAAGTCTAATAATAAACTCACGTACTCGCATCAAGAAAGCCACTTTATGAACGATATATGTGTAAAGAATTATAAATTTAATTTAGATTATATTTGTCCTATTTGATATTAGTATTATAGAAATTTGAAATATAAAACATTCTCTTTCTATCTCTTTTCTTCTCTTCCACCTTCCATCTCTCTCGCACAAATCTTTACTTTATTACATATTACTATTTATATAATATAGTGTCGAGTAATGCGTAAAATTGTAATATTTAAAAAAATAATTTTTTTTTCCTTATTTTTAATCACCATAATTCAATGCAGATCAAACACTTCAAATTCAATGGATTATATTACGGATCCCTCTGTAGAATGTCAAAATCAAGAACCATCTAATTTGCATGTTCAAACATGTGAAAAAACGAGTGAAGAAGCAGCCGCACTTAATGAGTAATTATTCGCTTTTTTTATATCATAAGACATATTATTATCATAAGACATAATTGCATCTTATACTATTTAAATATTGATTTTTCTGCACAAGAATAATTTATACAACAAAATTGCAACAGAGATATTTTAAATATAACTCTATTTTTAATTATACACATTTTAACGCAGACCAAGCACTTCAAGTGCAACCGGATATATTGTAAATCTTTCTGGAAAACATCAAATTCCAGAACCACCTAGTTTTCCCTTTCAACCCATTGAACAAACTACGGAAGAAATAGGCGCAATTAATTCGCTTTGCTCATATTATACAATGTAATGATATGCAATAAGTATATTGACTTTTATGCAACACGTGCATGGAAAGTGCCCCATTACGCACGCTACGCGTGCGTGATAGACCACTTTCCAAACACTTGCAACATAAAATAGGGAGTGTAAGTCGTGTGTAAAGATGAAAATTTCCGGGTACGGTTACCGCACTCGCCTTTTTTCATCTTACCTTACTTGTTACACAAATAACTATTCTGCACGAGTATATCTTTCAACTGTGACATTTTTAATAATTACTCTTCTTTCTCTAGTTTTAATCAAACTATATTTCAATACAAACCAAGCATTATAAGTTCAACGGATTATGATATGGATCACTTTGTAGAACGTCGAAGTCTAAAATCACCTGGTGTGCCTGTTCTGTCATCTGAAGAAAGGAGAAAAAGATTAGAATTATTTTCATATTTAGCGATACAATGATTATAATTATAATAGTTTTATTAGAATCTAAACGTCTTTTATTTCTTGCATCCATCAAAATAAATATTTAACAAAATAAAAAAAATTTAACATATACCTTGATTTTATTTTTGTATTCTGCAGTAATATATCCAATATCTTAAAAAATTATTAAAATGTGACCTTCTCAAAGAAATTATATACGTGAAATGGGGTTAATATTTGACATAAATAAATTACAATAAAAATTAAAATAGCGAAGTTTTTAAAAGTGGTGGACAGGTAGGTTCACCTATATCCCTATAAATGTAAACTTTCCTTCGAATTTTTATATTCAGCCATATCAAAGGATTGTTTTCTGTTATAGATATTTGAAGACTGGCGGACAATGGACTTTTTCGTTACTGGGGCCATACACGATTGTCTCCATTTAGATATTGGCTTATTGGATTCTGTTACATTGAACCTTCACGATACCTTGGATAATGACATTCTCTTTGGTGATGAAGTTTATAAAAAAGGTAAAATTATGTAAATAAAATGAAACTATCATCCATGAATAGCTTAATGCAGGTAACACAAAAAAAAGAGGTGGGACCGAAAGTTGATAGACAATAAATTCTCTTTTTGCGCAATACGTTCACATATTATATCTTACAATTAATTTTATGTTCAAAATATGCTTTATAGGTATTACTAGTCGATATATTTTATGACGTGTATTTTATCGTAGCTTCAGCTATATTGCGCATGTTATATCATGCAGTGGGCGACGAAATATTTCGAAAGGGCATCACCAAGTATTTCGTTAAGTAAGTATATGTAGTATGTATAATGTAATCTATTATAGTTATCACATATATCGCAATATTAAATATCATAAGTATAATGTTTATTGCGTTTACATTGGAAAATATAAAACGTCACATCAGAAACATAAACTTGTGCGTTCAATATCCAATGCTATTCGATTAGATGAGACCGTACTTTATTCCTTAATTATATGTAATTTGACTAACAATAAGCTAGTTTTAAATCATATTCTTTTACTTATATATTAATTAAATTGTACATTAATTCTTACGTTTGATTATGTAATAGTAAATTTAAATACATACGACGTATGCATGTGTTATAGCTAATGACAATGTCATTTTTCAAATTTAGGCAATACGGCGGTCACTCCCGATGATTTTTGGAGCGCCATACAAAGTGCTAAAGACGAAGCCTCTTGGGTCTCTCATATGCGAGATCAAAGATTCAGAATAAAAGAAGTGATGAATACGTGGATAATCCAAAATCGTTATCCTGTGCTGAATAAATTACAAAACTGGTGAAGTGGCAATAACACAAAAATGTTTTCACGGATAACTATACCTGCCAATAATAAATGGTGGATACCCATATCCTACACTGACCAGAGCTTTCCCGATTTTTCCAATACTATGCCCAATAATTGGTTAAAACCAGATATATAAAACTCTTAGAATGCAAATTAATACAGGAGGTTGGATTGTCGTCAATCTACAACAAACTGGTATAAATCAATAAATTTTACGTTTTTTTATATCTATCTTATTTGCTTTATCAACACGAAAGTTTTACATTATTCAAGTTCATATATATTTTTTTTAATTAAAAAGTAGCTTTAAGATTTATATAATTATAATATTTTTCGAAACATTGGTAAATTTATTAATGTACATTTTTTATTTGTAAATTACATAAAATTTGTTTATTACAATAAAAAAAATGTCAGTATTTAGAAATATATCTTGATAATTTCAAACAAGAAAGTCTAATAATAAATTTAATTCGGATAATTCGACAGCATACTGTCGTGTCTATTACGATACCACAAATCTGCAAAGAATCATAAGTTACTTGAAGTCTGAGGAATACAGGAACATACACGTCTTCAATCGTGCTCAAATTATCGATGATGCATTTGCCTTTTTGCTGGAAGATCAACTAGATAGCTCCGTACTCAAAAATCTTATAAGTTACCTAGGACGAGAGACAGATTATGTGCCATGGCGGTACAATGTTCCGAATATTAGGACAGAATGTGAGGTACTTTTCACTGCCAGAAAATAAAGGTTTCAAGGTATGTATAATAACAGATTTTATGAAGATGAAAAAAATGTTTGTAGAGTTATATTTGGCTCTTTAGTTTGTCCAATTCATTTACACATTCTCCGTTTTATAGAATAATTATCGCTTCACAAATATTATATTTTCATTTTATATATTAAATTTCTTGTATTAGTATGAAAATACAATTTAATAGCATTTATAATTTAATAATAAAAAAATTTGGAGATATCGATCTATTTCTGTTTTATTATATTTTTCAGTCTTTTCTCTCTACCCCTATTTCATATATTTTATTAATTTATTTTATTTTATTTTTTCTAGACTTATTTCCATCAAAATCTCGAAAAAAATTTTTTTCATATTTATGTACGGATTCTCCGAAATTTCAAACGTCTGTAACTCCAGAACTAATTAACCAAATCTTAATTAATTGTATATGAAATAGGGGTAGAAAAAACTGAAAAATTTAATAGAATTAGATATAGGTCGCTATCTCAAATATTGAGAAAGCTATAGGATAACACACTTTTCTAAAAAAAAAAAATTTCAATAAAATCTATACCGGTCAACAGATTTTAATAAAATTTGAGGAGAACATACTTTCTATGATACTCTATTTGTGTGAAAAATTTTAACCCGGTATCTAAAAAATTGTAGAAGTAGATGCGTGTACAAAAAATCCGTACATACTCACACACACACACACACACACACACACACACACACACACACACACAC